CGACACCGCCGATGACGACGACGCCGACGGCGACGACGACGACGACGGCGACGGCGACGACGTCATCAACGAAGACGACGACGACGAGGGAGGAGGGAGGACGACGACGGCGACGACGACAACGACGAGGGAGGGGGGAGGACGGCGACGACGCGAACGGCGAAGTGGTGGGACGCAGGCATGGCGAAGGGTTCGCGAGCTCTCGTCGTAGTGCCGCGCTCCCCGCCTAGGCTTCCCGCTCTGTAAGAGGAAGGCCGAGAGAGGCGGCGGGGGCGACAGCGGTCCCGCCTCGAAAAGGGAGGCGACGCCGACGACGACAACGACGAAGGAGGAGGGAAGACGACGACGACGACGACGACGGCGACGAAATAGGAGGGACGACGACGAGACGCCGACGACGGACGACGACGACGAGGGAGGAGGAAGGACGACCACGGCGACAACGACGACAGATACGACGACGACGCCAAAGAGGACGACGACGACGACGAAAGCCAGAGGACGACGACGGCAACGACGACGACGACGACGAGGCCGATGACGACGACGACGACGACGACGTCGCCAACGAAGGCGACGACGACGAGGGAGGAGGGAGGATGACGACGGCGACAACGACAACGACGAGGGAGGAGTGAGGACGCCGACGACGCGAACGACGAAGAAGGGAGGACGGCGGCGCCGACGACGACAATGACGAGGGAGGAGAGAAGCGACGACGACGACGACGGCGACGGCGACGACATAGGAGGGACGACGACGAGATGCCAATGACGGACGACGACGACGAGGGAGAAGGAAGGACGACCACGGCGACAACGACGACGGAAACGACGACGACGCCAAAGAGGAGGAGGACGACGACGACGACGAGGAACGACAGAGGACGACGACGGCGACGACGACGACGAGGGAGGAGAAAGACAACGACGACGACGACGACGCAAGAGCGCGCGCGCACGCTTTTGTTGAACATCCGTGTTGCGAAACCCTGGGTTTTTGTATGTTTTCTGGCCACTCGATTTTATGCCCTCCCGAACACGACGGTTTTTGATGGACTTCGGCATGCGCGCGACGGCACGCGCGCGCGTGCACTTCGTCACAGTTGTTACAGAGGGTTCTCGCGACGGTACGCGCGCAAGGGCGTTCGGACGATTTCGGCATGCGCACGCGAACATCCCGGCTGGTAGGATGTTTTCAAACTCTTGCACAACCTACTGTATTCTTAAGATTTCGCAAGAGCGCGCGCGAATGCTGTATACAAAATCAGTGTTGCGAAACCCTGTGTTTTTTGTATGTTGTTTGGGAACTCGATCTTGAAATCCTCCCGACACCAAAGCACGCGCGACGACGCGGGCGTGTGCACTTCGTCCCTTTTTTGCAACGGATTATTGAAAACTTATGATTTCTGATAAACGAGCGTGCGCGCATAGAATTTGTTGTAAAGGAGCCGAGGGGGGATCGATACTTGTTTGGCTGGATAGTATGAATTCACAATTAGGATGGACGATAGGGGCAGAATCATATGTAAATTGCAATACGAAAAGGGAGGTCTTTAAGTCCGGGGGGGAGGGTGGTAGAACCTATATTCTTCTCTTCTTTTTGGGAAAGGAGAATCTACGTGGTGTAATTGCTTTGTGCATTACGAGGCTCGCACAATCAAAATGATGACCACAAGCGGCAGCGACGGTCGGCGGCGACATGCGGCGACGCGCCAGCCAGACCGACACCCAGGCACAGACGGGCGGTGGCGACGGACGAGCGCAGCGATCGACACCCAAGCGCAGAAATAGCGGCGACGGACGGCGGCGACGGTGGCGACAAGCCGGCCGGACCGACACCTGGGCCCAGTTCCTTGCACGCCAAGTAAGAACACCCAAGTGCAAGCACTGTGCGTGGTGAACTGCGAAGAAAAAGTTGGCTTCGCATAGCAGCGATACATGACCTAATATTGAATTGCACACCATGGCTACATGAACGGTGATGTCGGAAAGCCATGCGGGCGGACCGACAAATTGAATATGAAGCCGTTGCTGCTGCGGGAGCACCATGCGGAAGGACCGAAACGTGGAAATGAGACCAACGCGCCAACTGAAACACCACTTGGAAGGACCAAAAACGCGGACATGAGACTAGCGCTTCAGCGGGAGCAAAAATTCGGACGGACCGAAAGCGCGGAAATCAGGCCATCGCTGCAGCGGGAGTACCGTTTTGAAGAAACGAAAAGAATCGGACGGGAAACACACACACACACGGAAAACCAACATTTGGATTCCTGTGTGAAAAGAACGCGGAGAGGGCGGGACATCATCTGGACAGAGTCAGGGGAATGAGGAGAGCAACGTCCATAAAGTAACGTGTGCTTGTTGACTGAATTGAGAATGGAGACAGAGGAGGAGGAGGAGGAGGAGGAGGAGGAGGAGGAGGCGGATTGGTGGAGGAGGAAGGATGACGAGGGGAGGATAAGAACAGGAATGGGAGAGAGAGAGAGAGAGGATGGACGTGAGAGTCAGACGGGGTAGAGAGGACGGGGAGCAAAGAGAAAACAAGCCGAGGGGAGAAGAGGTGGGAGGAGGGCGGATGGGAGCGAAGAGAAAAGAGGCCGAGAGGAGAAGAGGAGGAAGCAAGGAAGAGGGAGGAGGGAGACGCGCACACGATGACGGAGTTGAGAAGAGAAGGATGAAGAGGCAACGGAGGAGGGAGACAGGATGAGGGAAACAGGGGGAGAGGGGAACGAGGGGGAGGCAAGCCAAGTGCGCTTGCACCACATCTGACATCCTGCCCCTCCCGGCCATCCCTCCTCATTGCGCTGTGTGCTCCTGAGTCCGCCGAGTGGGGCGTCTCAGAAGACCGTCGTCTCCAAATGACAGTCGCCAGCCTTGCCCCGTCGTTGGCTGTGTAATCAGCGAGGGTCCTTTTTGTACAGTGGAGCGGAGGAGGCGGAACAGCAGCAGGTACAGGGGCGAAGAGAGGGGGACGGCGATGACGAGGAAGGACGCAAATCCAGAAATGTGGCCTTCGCGGTGGTGCCATCGCCATCCCGAATACGGGGCCCCGATCGGAGTCCTTCTGACCCAGGTCAATCCAGACCCGGGTCAGTCAGGCCTTGCAGAATCCTGCAAGATCCTGCAAGATCCTGCGCCCACGCCCAGGTCAATGCGACGGATCCTGCAAAATCCTGCACCCAATCCCGGGTCAGTGCGCCCCTGGCCCTGCAGGATCCTGAAAGATCGGGCGCTCTGGCTGACCCCCGTTTGCATCGACCCCCGTCTCTTTCGGCAACGACGAGACGGGCGAATAGCCCAGGGGCGGGCATTACACCTATTCGCCCGGGAGCCTTGTCGAAGACACGGATCATCGGCGCCCCTGGATACATGTTGCTCTCCTCTGGGCTATTCGCCCCTGTCGTCGCCTCTGACTCTTGAGCCCCGAACCGCTCGGGAAGCGCGGCCACCGGCGCAGAGGGAGCACCAGCAACTGACGCGTCGGTGGCAGGCAGCTCGGGAATCGGTGGCGCGCCCAGGCGGAAGGCAGCGGGGGAAGACCCAGACATCGAGAAGGGCACTCGGCCTGACATAAGGAACGACAAGTAAGGAACGAAGCAGTTGTTTTGCAAAGTAAGTCCAGGAAGTCCTAAGGAACACCAGGGGGGCTCGCCGCCAAAAAGGTAGCGGAGCGCACAAACGAAAGACCGAGCCCCTTTTGAAAGGCAATTGTTCCTTATTCAAGGAATTGACATGTTCGTCGAATCTACAACAGCACGTAATATGTGTCCTGGGTTCGGCGAAACAATCGGCGGTGGACAAACCTCCCTTTAGTACACCACCCTTTAGTGAAAAGGCCTGGGACCGAAACCGACGGACCTGGGGCAAGTCGATTATGTAGTCGGTCCCCTACACGAAGACAGCCTCAGGCCTTCTCGGACCTCTTGGACCGTCTCGGGCGCGGAGGAAACCGACACGGGGCATTCGGTCAAAATGTACATTTTCCTTTGGGAATGGCACGATTTGAGCCTCTTGAAGGTCACCTTGGGGGCCTCGTGGGGGCCTTTTGGTGTCTCCCGTGCTCTAACTTGGGCAGGCTGGAGCCTCCGTAGCCCCGCCGCCTTCTAAGAGGGCCTGCCCGCTCCGGCTTCCCCCCGAGGAGGGGCCGCCGAGTGGAGTCGGGCGCCCGAAGAAGAATCACGCGGGAGGGACGGGCGACCAGCGGGACGCTGCCAGGGCGGAGAGGAGAGCAACACCCTCAGGGTGGGAGTGTATGCCGTGGTTGATGCCGTGGTTGAAGGTGATCTCGCAGAGTATTTTGATGTGTTTCGTCGTGCGACGACGTCGTCGTCGCCGCCGTCGTCGTCGTCCTTCAGGGTCGACGGCACTGGCCGTAAGGCGTTCGCGATGAGGATTGCTGTGAACGCTAAGAAGGGAAGATCATGACGACGAGGAGGATGAGTGAGGCAAGTAGGGAGGGAAGGAAGGTCAGGAGGGTGTAGGAATGACGGTCAGGAGAACAGAGAAGTGGATAGGTTAGGAGGGGGAGGAGGGAGGAGAGGCAGGAAGAAAGGGAGGAAGAGGCAGGAGAGGAAGAGAGGCATGAGAGGAGTGGAGGTTGAGAGGGAGGAAGAGGAAGAGAAGGCAGGAGGGAGGAGGAGGCAGGAGGGAGGTAGAGGAAGGAGGTAGAAGAGGTAGGAGGAGGGGGAGGACGAGGATGAGGATTAGGATCAGGAAGAAGAGGAGGAGGAGGAGAAGGTAGCTGCCGCCTTAAGCTTGCGCAGCGTGAAAAAGTCAAAAAGGATCAGGTAGCGCAACTAGAATCTGACGACACACTCGCGTACAGAACAGCGAGAAAACATGGCAACACTCGACCGCTAACTGCGGGCCCTGTCACGCAGGCCCCGAACGGCGCTTTACCATTTCTTCGTCACATGCCGCGCCCTCAAAATAATCTGCGCTGGCGAAGAGTGGACGGAGAGGCAGGGAGGGATCAAGGTGGAGGTGGAGGAGTAAGGAAGGAGATGATAACAACTGGAAGGCCATCATACCGGGGATGGACAATGCCCCCTTTAGCAAAACGTGGTTTAATAAACACCGACCTCGGGCCCAAACCTGGCGGGCGCAAGCCTGGAAAATGATGGCTGCGGCGCCCTCTCGAGAACCGAAAACGGACAATTCACTAATCGACGTGTCAGGGTGGGGGTTCTGTCCACCCCCGATAATAATGTCGCAGTGTCACGGAAGATCAAGGCTCGACAACGATCCCCGAGGCGACTCACCTACGCTGGTCGGAGGCCGCGCTGTCCGGGGTGAGGGCAACAGGGGGGGGAAGCAGCTGACAGAGCGCAAGCGCGCTACACTTTGGACTCCTCCCCTCCTGCTCTATCCACCAGCCTCCCTCGTGCACGCCCCTCTTCGCTCGCCCCCCTCGTTCGCTCCTCGCTCGCTCCTCGTTCCTAGCTCCTCGCTGCGGGTTCCCCGCACCACCCTTCGACCGTTTCCTCCTCCCTGATCTTGGCGGCGAGCGAGGGCGGGAAGTGAGAAGGGGCGGACCTTCTCAGAAGGCTCGGAAGCCTCGGAGCACTCTGAGAAGAGTTCTGAGCCTTCCCCGAAGACGCAAAACACTTCTCGGAAGGCGCGAGGGCTTCTGAGGAACCCAGCCGCCTTCTGAGAATGCCTCCTCCTTCCCTCTCTCCCCCCCCCAAGGCTCGCCGCCGAATCCCACCAGCCCCCTGGGCGTAGGTGGTCTAGGGCGGTTCCTCTTCCAACCCCCTTCTCCCCCTTCGGGGAGGGGCCTTGCCCCTCCCCCTACCCCCTCCCGTGGACATGGACGGGGCCGGCCGCGGGTAGTTAGGGCGCCCAAAACGGCCTTGGCGAGGAAACGAAAACCATTGGTTTTACCAAGGTTTTGGCCCCATTTGGGCCTCTTGGGGGGGAACGCCAAAGAACAACTCCCCTCTTCTTTGATCGATCTCCTCCTGAATGGCCCCAAGAGCGCCCTAAAGCTTCCAAGAGCGCCCCGGGAGGGCCCCAAGAGGCCCCAAGAAGCCCCCAAGAGGCCCACAGGAGGCACCCAAGAGAACCCCAAGCGGCCCCAAGAGGCCCCCCCAAGGCACCCAAGACGCCCAAGACGCCCCCCAAGACCGCCAAACAAAACCCAACACGTCCCAAGAGGCCACCCAAAAAAAACGAAAAAAAACTCAAGAGGCTCCGAGAGGTATCCAAGAGACCTCTGGCCCTTGTGCTTGCCCTCCTCCACCTGCTTCCCCTTCCTCTTCTTACTTCTTCTACTCCCCCTCCTCCTCCTCATCCTCCTCCTCCTCCGTTTCCGCCTCCTCCTTCGCCTCCTCCTCATCATCATCAGCATCAGCAGCAACATGAGCGTCAACATCATCATCACCATCATCATCACCATAATCATCACCAGCATCATCATCATCGTCGTCATCATCATCATCGTCATCATCATCCTCCTATTCATCATCCTTCCCCCCACTCCCTCATCCATCCATCCAGCCTCCTCATTATCCTCCTCCCCCCTGCACACGGTTCGACCGTCCCCGTATTAGCTCCCGCACTTCCCTGTCGCATCGACTCGCCTAAACATCGTTTCTGGATGGGCTGGTGGGGGTATTTTGTGGCACGCGGGCGCGCGAATCGGGTCGAACGCCAGGCGAGCAGGGGCAGGAAATGCCACCAGCAGCGGAAAACAGGGCGACGAGCAACGCCGGGCGAGGGGTGGAACACAGGCGGCCAAAATGGCGCGACAGCAACGCAGAGCAGCACCAAGAACACGAGGTAGGTGCCGGGCGGGATGCCGACGCAAGTGAACCCGATAGCGACGAAGGACGGCTCGAGCGCCACACTAACCCAGGAAGGTGGTGACGAATGTGGGAAGCCCGGTGCCCCAGGGAACCTTGCCGAACGGCTGGTGGGGATACTTTTGGTCTACAGGCTCGCGAAGCGGGTCGAAAGCCGTCCGAACACTAGTCGGGCCGCGACTAGGCAGCAGGAGAAGAAAGGCAAGCGGCTGGTGGGGATTTTTGTTCGGCAACCGCGAGCGAGAGCGCAACAGCGGCGAGTCAAAGTCCGGGCGGGCCGCGCGAGGGGCTAATTAACCAAGCAGAAGCAGGCCTAGCACCGACACTCAGAACGGGACCAGGAAGTCGCCGAAGAGGAGGCGGGGCTGCAACACTGCCCGGCGGTGCAACCGTGCAACGAGCTGTAGGTGCTGACTGCCAGGGTGACCGACTGCCAGGGTCCGCAGGCACTGGGAGGGATACGCGAGGCGTCTCGAATTTCCGCCGTGCAGTCCCATCTCTCGGCCCCTGGGCCCAGCCGGCCGCCCCGTTCGGGTGGCGGCGCCTCGCCCGGGACCGCCCCGCCACTGCGGCCTCGGTCCCCCGAGGCGTGTGCAGACGAACGGACAACACACACACAGCCATAGAGACCAAGGCTGGACCTAGACGTTGCTTCTCGTGTTGTGTACGTTTTGCTGTTCGTGTTGCTCTACCTGTTTTCCTGTACCTCCCTGCCGAAAGGAGAAACATGACACATCCGAAATCCAGCAAAACAACGCTTAGGTCCAGCCCAGCCCTGACGGACACAACACACACACACATAGCCATAGAGACCTCGGAGGGAGGGGGACTGGCAAAAAAAGATGGGTGCGGGTTGTCGGACCCCCGGGGACGCTCCACTTCGACCGGGGACCATCCGACGACACGCACCCACAGCCCCCTCCGTCCCCCCTATGGGTTCAGTCGGTGAGGCGTTTGGCCCGCTCGCAGGGGTGTCCGAAATCTGGCAGCGCCCTCGCAGCATTGAAGAACGCGTTTTCTGACAAGTGCCCGAACTAGCGGGCGCTTCGATTTTGAACGGCATTTCAGTTAATTGTTGACGAGACTTGTACGACAGAAAAACATTCTTCAAGAACCTGGGACCCTCCACCGGCCAATACACGAAGAACATCCAGCGGTAGCCTCCACAGGCGCACGAGCACCCAACAGACACGAAGAATATGAGGGTACCCTCCCCGAACCAACCTCGATCTTATACCTCGGTCCGACCGTGTGGATGTGTGCTGCTCGTTCGTCATGTGCAATGGCTACGAGGTTGCAAGCATCCGGAGAGGCTGCAGATCGTCTACGACCCCGACTGCCCCTCGGGCATGGGCTGCTTCGAGGACGGCCCCTTGCCCGTGTACACCACTGGTCCAAGACGCCCAGGCATCAGCACGGAGCTGCAGGGCGCCTGCGGCCCCAGCTGCCGCTTATGCTCAGGCCGAGTCGAGGACGACCCATCTCGCTACGGTAAAGTCGTGCGTGCCCTCCTGCAGGCGGACTCTGGACGAACAATCATAAAACAACTCAAACAGATACCCCGGAATGGTCACACGTAGTAAAAAGAACGTCCTCATACCATTGTCATACTATCTTTGAATACTCCCCCTGTAGAGGGATATGCCCGACTTAACGCTACGGCACCGCGTCCCTGGCGCAAGGGCGGGCAACGTCCACGCACAACCACATGATGGAAAGCATCGGCACGGGGCTCACGGTTGGAAAGCGATTTATTTTTCAGATGTTGCTCTCGCCTTAGCGCCGCGCACATTCGCTTTAAAGTTTGCAGTGGTTCAAGGGTTCGCATGGCTGAAGTCCAGACATGGCTTTCTGGCGCGAGTTTGGATTGTCAGAACGCAACTTGCACGTTAATATGATGTGCTGAAACCCCACGATTTTAGATTATCGGGACGCAACCGTCATGTTGACTCGCGGTGCTGGAATCCCAAGACTTGTGTTCTGGGACGCTTGAAGATCCTCAGACGGTTGCCTTCAAATGGGGCACTGCCCGCAATGAGCATACTTGTTGTAGGGGCCTGTGCAGGAGGACCTTGGAGGGAGGGTTCATGACAACATCGTCGTTGTGCCTTGGGTTTGCGCTAGCTCTCCTCCTCCATCTCCTCCTCCTCCTCCTCCTCCTCCATCTGCTCCTCCTCCTCCTCCTCCTCCTCCTCCTCCTCCTCCTCCATCTCCTCCTTCTCCTCCTCCTCCTCCTCCTCCTCGTCCTCCTCCTCCTCCTCCTCCTCCTCCTCCTCCTCCTCCTCCTCCACATCCCGCCAATGGCCCCCTCCCCGTCCTCGCTCCTCCTCGCGGCCCGCCCGACCAATCGCCCCCCCCCCGTTGCTGCACACCCGGGCTGTCTCGGGAGGCCCTCTGGGTCGCGCGCGCCGCTAGGCTGCACGGCCCCGACCGCCTGCCTGCGTCCGAACTGCGCTGGAGTGCGCGCGCCAGCGCCGCGGGCCGCCTGCACGCCTGGGCCGCGGGGGGGTCTGTGCTCTGGATGACAGCCTGGACCCCGACGACAGGTAGATGCCAGACAGGCAGGCGCGCTCCACGACTCGCAACGTGACTGCTCGAAAATGGCCTGGCTCCGCCGCGAGGGATCTGCAATCCCTGCATCGCATGCGAGCATGTGTGTGTGTGTTTCGGACGTTTGCGAGAAGGCACTTTGCGAGCAGTAGAGGAGGAGGAGGAGGAGGAGGAGGAGGAGGAGGAGGACGAGGAGGAGGAGGACGAGGAGGAGGAGGAGGAGGAAGAGGGGGAGGAGGAGGAGAAAGAGGAGGAGGAGGAGGAGGAGGAGGAGGGGGAGAGGAGGAGGAGGAGGAGGAGGAGAGGAGGAGGAGGAGGAGGACGACGAGAAGGGGGAGGAGGAGGAGCAGGATGAGGAGGAGGAGGCGCCTGGTGAGACGAGGCGTCCAGCGACAGTGGCCTCGGTGCCTCTGGCCTCCGTCCTTGCTCGGCCGTGCGGGCGGCTGGCCGGCCCGCGGCCCCTGAGGCCGCAGCTGCGCCGCGGGAGGACCATGGCGAAAGGGACCGCGGGAAGGTCTGAATGAAATCAGTTTGCCACAGACGTCCTCAGGCGGCTGGTCGCCATGCAGAGAGCGGTCTTCACCATTTGTGTGCGCGAGTGTGGGCAAGCACGCGCTGGCCGTGGGCACGTGGGTGCGCGCGGCGCGCGCACGAGCGAGCAGGTGCGGGGGACCATGGGAGGACCATGGCGACAGGGACCGAGGGGGCGGGCGGACGATCGATCGATCGCTGAGTGCGAGCCACGCGCGTAGGTTGCTGCCTCAGGGGTTCTAAGCTACAACCGACTACCTACCAGACCAGCCCTAACCGAACTCGACGACCCGAGTTTCGGGTTGGGGGGGTACGGGCGTCATATGTGTTTTCCAACTGTTCCCCGACCCCACCACTGGACATGGAGGGCAAATCGAGGCCTTCGGGTTGGGTTGGGGTTACCTGTTTGGTGGGCGAGGAACAGCAGCGCAAGATGGCGTCAACACGACGTTCGTCGAGAGCGGCAGGTGGACTGGGCACATCTGCCCGTCACTTCCGCTCGCCAAATCGATGCCTTCACAGGCCACTCCGACGCTGGGGCCGGGGCAAGGTATAGAGCACCGAGCTCGCGCTACGTGATGCTTGGGTACCCACACCAAATCAAGGCAGCGAGGGGCGACCGACAGGGAAGTGATGGAGAATGTGCCTGCTAACGGACTTTCTTGAACTGCTTGCCACTGGATGTGCTTCACGGGCCGGATCAATGCTGTCAGTGCCCCCCTGAAGTATGGGGCAAAACCATCGCACAAAACAATGTCCAATGAATAATGGCTCGACTGGAGAAGACTTCCGTGAGGTCAACGTTCTACACTACAACCGAACTACCAGCGGCCGAGGTGGAATGTACACACGGGGAAGAAACACATCTGTATAGCCCTGGCCTTCTGTTACGGCCACGCATCGGGGAAACCTTGCGCTGGACCTGCCAATGGGCTTGTCCGCTGGCACAGCCCAATCCTCCCAGCCACGTGTTCCCAAATATTCACACTTCAAATCTTGGCCACTTGGGCCCATAATGGCGACAGATACGCGCATACACCTGGGGTCTGTTCCGCGAACGTGGCCGATGCTCGGCCGACAATGTGGGCGTCAACATGTTCCAACAAATATGACGACTCATTGTACACATCGGCCGCGGACACAACACCTGACGATCGTTCATACCGCTCGCCCACCTCTGAGAGCACGCTGCATACGAAGATCAGAAGTCTTGCACGGCCCTCCAAAGGGATAGGAGGGAGGACGGAGAAACACTTGGGGGAGTGAATAAAGGAACAAAGAACGCCGCAATTATAAAAACACAATTGGATCTTCGCGCGGATTTCTTGGACTGGCACTGGACCCCCCTGGCGACGCCTCCGCACCGCCCCTGGCGCGCTCCGCGCGCCAAGGAGGAGAGTCCAACGACGATCCAAGAAACCCGCGCGGAGCTCCGAAATTTTACGCGGGGAGCAAATGGACAGTGGGCAAGCAGTGGGAGTACGACGGAGGTGGGAGGAAGACACACACACAGGAAGGAATGAGACACCAGGAGGGAAGATCACATACAGAGGGAGGATGTGGAAACCAGGAGGTAAGATGGGAAGAATGCGGAGGGAGGGCAGCAGAAGGGAGGAAGACGGGGGCAGGAGCGAGGAGGGAAACACAACGGAGGGAGGAACGAGCAGGTCGGAGGGGGGACGGAGGGACCGGGCAGGATGGAGCAGGGAGCAGGAAAGGCGGGGGGGAATGAAGAAACGTTTGGCGGCGCGCACACGGGCGCAAGGGAGGACTCCAAGATTCCAGGACTGAGTGACCCCAGGAGTGTTATTCCTGTGTGCCCTAGACGTGATTTCCGAAGGTACTCTAAGAGGAGCTGTCGCCGTGCACGCTCACTCCCGTGTTCTGCCAGGACGGGCCCTGGGCAGACTGGGTGTTGCGCTGCGGGCAAGGAGGGAGGGACGAGGAGGAGGGGGACATTACCCAGGCCATAGCCCAACCCTTCCCAGGCAGGAGCGATGATAATCAAGACCACCCAAGACAAAACAGCACACTGAGGAACACGCAGTAAGTACCACTCAAAGAACAAGTGGCCACACCCAACGTTCTCTCCATTCACGTACGCACTCTCGCTGCTCAGATCGCAGGGAGGAGGACGACGATGAGCAGATCAAGGAACAGGATGACGGGAACAATGCGAGGTGGGAGTATACGGGGAGGTAAACATAGAAGGAGAATAAGCAGCGCCGCGCGCTACATCGTCGTTATGGGACAGACATACGTAGCCATGCACGATTTGACAGAGCAACGCGTTACGTAGAGTCCCAGAACAGTTGAGTGTGCACGGTTTGGGCTTGAAGTTACGAGTGTTTGGCCAAGTGGATGCACAAGAGTAGGGCGACTGTTGAGCAGGAGTAATCAGCCCCCAAGGCGTCGCGAAGACTCGGTTGGGTGTGCGTAAGACGTCGCTCCACCCGGCCGCCTGGGACCTCGCAAAAGAGGCGACCGTTGCGCAACTGACTGCCCCCATGGAGTCGCGAGGTTTCATTTGGGTGCGCGCATGACGTCGCTCCGCCAGGCCGCCCAGAGAGGATGGTACCCCCCAGGATCGGGAATCTACTGACCCGGGTCAATCCAAACCCGGGCCAGTCAGGCTTTGCAGGATCCTGCAAGATCCTGCACCCAAACACCCCTCGCTCTGCAGGATCCTGCAAGCTCCAGCGCTCTGGCTGCCCCCCGTTTGCACTGACCCCCGTCCCTTGAGCCCCCAGCAGGAAGCTGCGAGGTCTCGTCCGGGTGTGCGTGTACGATGTCGCTCCGTCGGGCCTCCGACGACCCCACGAACGAGCGCGGCGCCAGTTGCGCAGGCGACAAGGCCCCCCCCCAGAGAGTCGTGATGCTCTGTTTCGGTGTTCGTGTAACGTCGCACGGGAGGCCACGGAATGGGCGTCAATGCGCAGTTGGCAGCGCATCGGAAGAGAAGGGAGGCCGCGCGACCAATGCTCCTCCCAGAACGAAGATCTGGCCCCTGATCTGGTTGAGAACGGGTTAGAGACGAGAGGACGAGGCGGGACGAGAAGGAAGGACGCGAGAACGAGGGACGAGAACGGAGGAAGGATAAACGACGAGGCTTGAGAGAGGGACGCGTGGGAGGACAAGGGAGCACGAGTGGCGGGTGGAGAAGGAGAATGAGGAACAGTGCGGAACACCTGGAGACACGAGAACCACACTGCCCTCCTTCTACTCACCGTCCTCCACCTGCGTCTCCTTCCCTGCGTCTCCTTCTCACCTCCTCCTCCTCCTCCATCCTCCTCGCTCCTCTCTCCTCCCTCCGCCTCCTCCTCCTCCTCCCTCACCCTCCATCCTCCATCCTCCCTCCCGCCTCCTCCCTCCTCCTCTGTCCTCCGTCCTCCTTTCCGTTCTCCTCGTCAGCCGTCCCCCATCGTTTCCCTCACTCCCCAGTGCCCCGCAGCGGCAGGGACGCGCCTGTCATATGCTGAGGACGTCGTCGTCCTTCCCGTCCTCGGGATCGGGGGCGTGCAAGGAGGGCGTGTCCAAGAAGAGGGGTTGCAGATCATGGTTGCAGGCGCGCACGCGGGGGGGGGGGGGGCGTCCCAGAGACGCACAGAAAAAGAAAGGGGGCCATCGCCCCGGCCGTGATATCCCCCCCTTTGCCCCCTGACGGCTTTCGGGCCATGACTCGGGCCTCCAGCAGCCGCTCGGGACGATCTGGGCACCCCCGGAGCGCTCTCTGCGAGGCGTGACCGCTGGAGAGCACCACGAGGCCGGAAGGCCGCCGAGAGCGCTCTCGAGACCCAGACCCCCTGAGCCTCGGCCGTGGCCATGGCATCCACCTCTCGGCGGCTCTGAGGGGTGTGGCTTGGAAAGGGTGTGGTCTGCAGCGCGCACCTGGGTGGCGGGCGAGGACCTCGAGGCCCGACGAGGGCAACGTGGCGCCCCCCGAAGCGCCCACGCCCTGGCGTAACCACACCCTCGACCTCTGCTCCTCGCGGAATTGCAATCCCACCCCGCGCGCTTGTCTGCCCCGGTCGCCGGCCGCGGAGGCAGGCGCGAACCCGCCAGCCGCGCGAGTCTGCCCGTCGGCGCGGGCTTGAGCCGAACGTGAATGGAAGAGAGGAGGAGGTGGAGGAAGATGATGAAGGCGAGGAGGGCGATGCGTTCGCGGGAGGGGTCGAAAGCTCGCTTCCTAGGGCGCCCCCCCCACGACCGCCGTCTCGCGGCGGGGGGGGCGCCCCAGACCTCAAGGAGGTGGTTAGAACGCGCCCCGCCGGGGCGATCCCCCGCGACCGCTTTCCCGCTGCGGAAGGGGCGCTCCAGAGCCTAGGGAAGTGATCGGCGCGCGCCCCGCCACGGCGCCCGCCCCGTGGCCACTTTCTCGCGGCGGGGGGGCGCCCCAGAGCCTGGGGGGGAGGTCAGTGCGCGCCCCCCCAGGCCGTTCCGCCATGACCGCTGATCGCGGCGGGGAGAGCGCGTCGGAGGGACGCGCGTCGTCTTCGTCGCCGCCGTTCTTAGCGGCGACGACGGCGGCGATGGCAGCGACGGCGGCGACGGTATGCATAATTGTTCACGCACGTCAATGCATAAATCTATGTATGTATGTATATGCATATGTATATATGTATATATGTATATGTGTGTATATATATATATATATATATATGTGTGTATGTGTATATAGGTATATATATACACATATATATTCCCAAATCAGAAATTGCCTCAGAAGGTGTCTTTGCGGATTCATATGGTTATGTTAGGTTTGTCGCCGATTTTCGCTGCGCGCCCAGGCGCCGCCCAGGGGAGCCCGGGGCCCGGGTGCCCAGGGGGGTGCCCGGGGGTGCCCGGGTGCCCGGGCGTGCCCGCGGGTGCCCTATAGCCCTAAGCCCTATAGCCGTATAGCCCTGTAGCCGAATAGCCCTACAACTCTATAGCCCTATAGATCTGTAGCCCTATCGCTCAATAGCCCTATGCCCCCTAGCCCTATGGCCCTGATTGGGGCTTTTCTCCGGTACTAGCCGGCCGCTCTGCGGTTGATCGGGAGTTTCTGTATATGGAAGAAGGTGCGTGCGCTTGTTGGCGAGGGTGATGAGGTTCCTCCTCCTCCTCCTCCTCCTCCTCCTCCTCCTCCTCCTCCTCCTCCTCCATCCTTCTCTTGCCTCCGTCTGTCCTCCTCCACCCCGCAGCTCCATCATCTTCTCCTCCTCCTCCTCCTCCTCCTCCTCCTCCTCCTCCTCCTCCTCCTCCTCCTCCTCCTCCTCCTCATTCCTCCTCTGGGCACCTCCCCCGGGGCGCGGATCCACCGGATCTGTCCGGATCTGTCCGGAAACGGTGCCGGAGGCCGCTCTGGGCTCCTCTGGGCACCTCCCCCGGGGCCGGTTTTGTGAGGATGTCTCAAGCGAGGGCGCCGGTTTGGGATTCGTCACCGGATCCAGCGGATCCAGCGGATCCACCGGATCTGTCCGGAAACGGTGCCGGAGGCCGCTCTGGGCTCCTCTGGGCACCTCCCCCGGGGCCGGTTTTGTGAGGATGTCTCAAGCGAGGGCGCCGGTTTGGGATTCGTCACCGGATCCAGCGGATCCAGCGGATCCAGCGGATCTGTCCGGAAACGTGCCGGAGGCCGCTCTGGGCTCCTCTGGGCACCTCCCCCGGGGCCGGTTTTGTGAGGATGTCTCAAGCGAGGGCGCCGGCTCCTCTGGGCACTCAAGCGAGGGCGCCCGTCACCGGCGGATCCAGCGGATTTCTGTCCGAAACGGTGCCGGAGGCCGCTCTGGGCTCCTCTGGGCAAGGATGTCTCAAGCGAGGGCGCCGGTTTGGGATTCGTCACCGGATCCAGCGGATCCAGCGGATCCAGGATCTGTCCGGAAACGGTGCCGGAGGCCGCTCTGGGCTCCTCTGGGCACCTCCCCCGGGGCCGGTTTTGTGAGGATGTCTCAAGCGAGGGCGCCGGTTTGGGATTCGTCACCGGATCCAGCGGATCCAGCGGATCCACGGATCTGTCCGGAAACGGTGCCGGAGGCCGCTCTGGGCTCCTCTGGGCACCTCCCCCGGGGCCGGTTTTGTGAGGATGTCTCAAGCGAGGGCGCCGGTTTGGGATTCGTCACCGGATCCAGCGGATCCAGCGGATCCACCGGATCTGTCCGGAAACGGTGCCGGAGGCCGCTCTGGGCTCCTCTGGGCACCTCCCCCGGGGCCGGTTTTGTGAGGATGTCTCAAGCGAGGGCGCCGGTTTGGGATTCGTCACCGGATCCAGCGGATCCAGCGGATCCACCGGATCTGTCCGGAAACGGTGCCGGAGGCCGCTCTGGGCTCCTCTGGGCACCTCCCCCGGGGCCGGTTTTGTGAGGATGTCTCAAGCGAGGGCGCCGGTTTGGGATTCGTCACCGGATCCAGCGGATCCAGCGGATCCACCGGATCTGTCCGGAAACGGTGCCGGAGGCCGCTCTGGACTCGTGCTCTTCGCGCCGGGGGTGAGGATGACGTGAGTTCCACAGAAACTCTCTCAAATCATATATGGGTATACGGGTGTATGTATATATAAAAATAGGTGTGGAATTATACACATCGACGTCGTCGTCGCCGCCGCCGCCGTCGTCGCCGGCGCCGCTGCCGCCGCCGCGGCCGTCGTCGTCGTCGTTGTCGTCGTCGTCGTCGTCCGTCGCCGTCGTCGTCGCCGCCGTCGCCGTCGCCGCCGTCGTCGTCGTCGTCGTCGTCGGTCGTTTCCATGCCCCCTGCTGGCCAGATTTCCGCATCGTTCAAAGCAGTGCTGGGGAACTGCTTTGAACGATGCGGATCGATGCGGATTGTTCGAAGGAGTGCCGCCGCACTGTGTTCAAAAGTCGCCCTTACATGGGCCATTGGATTAGGAATGGGAGACGAGGCGAGGCGATCTGCGCGCGGGGGTCGTCGTCGACATTTCAGCTGCGAGACTAGAAAAGTTCCCCTGCGTGAGTAGTGCGCAGCAAGGACCCGACAGCCTTTCGACATCGTACCGAAGCCTCTGCCAGGGCCTCCGCAGGGGCGGATCGCGCGGCGTTCCCTCCACCCCCTGCCCCTCCCCCCGCTTCCGCCACAGGCTAGCGCGCGGCCCGTTCACAAGGGGGCCGGCCCTGTATCACCAGCCAACAACTCCCCGATGAAACCGAAGGACGCGGCGCCGCTGGCACCGCGCTGCCAGTGGCGCGCGCGAGCGGGCCTGCGCAAGAAGGAGGGTTCCCTGAGGCCCCTTTAAACTCGCGAGCCCGATTCCTCTCAATATCCCGCAGAGCAAAGGACCGAGGACGAGAGACTCAGAGACGAGAGGGGGGAACGCTGGGCGAGGAGGCCTGCGCTCCGAGATGCCCTCGCTTGCGCGCGCGGCTCTCCCTTCGACGCTAATTCAGCGTCCTCCTCCGCGCCGGAATCGCTCTGTTGAGCCCCTGTGCTTTCCCATTCTGAAGAAAAAAAAAGCGTAATTAACCTTCGCGGGGTAGCATTTGTGCACTTGTCTCCCGTGTTGGCAAAAACTCCAACGCTTTCCCATTCCGAAAGAACGGATCCCACCTCTGTCCAAGGGCGAACTGCGCCGATGGAAACCCCGTGGCGCCGCAATTCGCCCGCGGAAAAATAATGGCCCACGCTGTTCCACATAGCGTCATGGATGCCGTTCAAAATTCGCCCGCTGCGTTTCCGCGCCCGCTCTTCGATGGCGAACCCTTCAACAACTGCGTATTTAACCACTAAGAGGTCAGAGGGAGCCCCCGTTGGGAAATTGCGCCGGCCCCTTTACCTCAGCGCCCTACTCCTCCTGTACCTCCTCCGCGTCCGCACTATGAGGAGCAACGGTTCCCTACCTAGGCTCTGCCTAAAAGGGTTCTGACTCTCTTGGCTTAAAGGGCCGGGCGGTGGGAACCGACCCGGGCGGTTCCCCCAGTATCCGCCCCGCGGTTCCCCCAGTTGCGTCCCCTGGGCTCACCCAGCTTAGTTTAGCTAAGCTTAGCTAAGCTTAGATTAGTTTATCTCATACTAACTTAGCTAGCTTTGCCTAGCCTAGCCTAGCCTAGCCTAGTCTAGCTTAGCTTAGCATATCTCATCTTGGCTCAGCTTAGCTTAGCTTGGCTTAACTTATTAGCCTAGCTTAGCTTAGCTTAGCATAACTTAGCTTACCTTAGCTTCGCGCAGCGCAGTATAGCGCAGCGCAACACCAGCACATCACTGCACAGCATAGCAAAGCATAACGTAGCACACACAGCATCATACCATAGCATAGCATAACATCGCATAACTCATCATACCATGGCATAGCGCATCATATCATATAATAACATAGCAGAGCGCTGCTTAACATAGCACAGCTCAGTATAACATATCATACCACATCACATCACATCATAGCAGAACATATCGCATCATATCATAGTACAGATCACAACATCGCATATCATAACATATCCTAGCACCGCGTAGCGCAGCAACTCCTATCGTATCGCAGCATAGCAGACCATAGCATAGCGCAGCAGAGCAAACCATAGCATAGCATAACGCAACATACCATAACACAGCAACAAAAAAGGCAAATCAACAATCACAGCTGCAAAACAAAACACAAGCAACGCAAAGCCGGACCTGCAGTGCTGAACAGCCTGCAGCTCTTGCAGGAGCCGCGAGCAGTGCTGAACAGCCTGCAGCTCTTGCGAGCAGTGATGAATAGCCTGCAGCTCTTTCAGGAGCCGCGAGCAGTGCTGAACAGCCTGCAGCTCTTGCAGGAGCCAGAAGCCGCGTAGGAGCTCTGGGTCGCTCTGTAGATGCAGGTGTAGATGTAAATGCGAATGTGAATCTCGCTGTTGATGTTGATGTAGATGTAGATGCAAGTGCAAATGTAAGTGTAGCTGTCGGTGTAAATGTAGATGTTGCTTCCGTAAATGCTCCAACTCGTACGTAGGGTCGCACTGGGAAAATTTTAGTATTTCAACATCTTCTCCAATGGACACACCCCGTTCCTTGCGCAATATTTGCAAAACGCCCTTCGTCATTCCTTCGCGGCCGGCTGTGGAACTGAAGAATCCCAGAAGCGCTGCGATCTCATACAGGAGCATGGGTTTTCGAACTTCGTCATCGGCACCACTCGGTGGCCTCTGAACCTCGGGGCCTCCATCTTCCCAGACCTCCTTCGCTCTCCGGCGAATACTTTCCAGACCTCCTTCTCGTCCGTCTTACCTCGGCGGGGGTCCATGGATTTTCGAAGTCCAGCACCGACAGAGGCCAATGACCTCCGAATCTCGGGGCCTCTATCCTCCTTCATTGTCGCCTGCGTTCGTCTGCGCCGCGGCCGCGAGGCTCTCTGTGCCTCTGGCGTTGCAGCGTTTTTTCTATTCAGCGCCTCCCGGGGCGGCTCGAGTGCAGCGGCCCCGTTCAGGGGGGGGCGGGTGGCCGCGGCTGCCCAACCTTGCCTCCAGTTTTGCTCGGTGGCGAACGAACGAATGCGAAGCAGGGCCAATCGGATTCCATTGGCAGAACTGATATTGGATCTCTTGTGACAGCGTTTCCGATATGGGAGATCCGCCAATCATTGTGACGGGCTGCTCCTGGGCACGCGTGGGCGCAAGCGTTGAGGGGAGACGAAGCGGCTCCGCGAACTCCCCTGGCAGCTCGCCCCCGTGTGCCCCAAAGGACGCAGGGGGAGGGGGGCGCCGAGCAAGCTCTACAAACTCACCCACTGCCGTATGCCCTCTCCTTTCGTGCACTTTGCTACAACTCGCCTTGATGTCCGTTCCCTGGACTTGAGCAGCCATCTGCTCACAAACTGCAGTCCTGGCAAGCTGGCGTTTCCGCGCGTGGGCGCGGCGCGTCCATTATCTGCGTCTTTGGCTCGTCTTTTGTTCTTCTGGTCGCACTCCAGTCTTCCCCAAAAATGGAAAGGTGCGGCACAAGAAAAATCCATCACAAATTCACTACCCAGCCCATCTGGGAAAGGTCGCAAAGAGGTACGGTATCGGACGGGCTGCAGAGATTGTTATGTTTGTTTGTTTCCTTCTCCTTTTCTGGTCCCGGCAAAACAACCTGTGTGGCTGTCAGAATCCGTAAATCGTGTGAGTGAACAGTGTCAGTGAAGATCCTCCCTCCGTCCAGGCTCAAAGTGTCTGAGTTCCAACGCCGACTAGTAAGAGGAGGAGGAGGAGGAGGAGGAGGAGGAGGAAGAGGAGGGGGGGAAAGAGGAAAAGGAGAAGGAGGAGGAGGAGGAGGAGGAAGGGGAGGAGGCCGGGTCGGGTGCCCCCCTCTCCCCCGAGGTCCTCGGACGGCGCCTCCGCGCGCGAATCTGCCTCGCCGGCGAGCTGCCTCGCGAGGGAGCCGCGCTCGGTCAGGCGTGAGGCCTCCCTCCGCCTCCTCGCCCCCTCTTTCCCGTCATCCCTCCTCCTCCAGCTCCCGCCGTGTTCATCCCTCGTCCTCCTCCTGCTCCTCCTCCTCTTTCTCCTCCTCCTCCTCCTCCTCCTCCTCCTGCTCCTCCTCCTCCTCCTGCTCCTGCTCCTGCTCCTGCTCCTCGTCTTCCTACTTCCCTTCGTCACCCCTGCGATTAGCACAGACTGGTGTAGAAGTCGTGGCCCCCTCCGCTTGGGTCTCGTTCACTAACGCCCCCCTGTGCAGCGCATGTTCAAACCAAGGACAGTGAAAAGGAACGATAAGGGGGAGCAGCTCCGAAGGGGAAACAGCCGAAATTCGACGATGCGTCGCCGATAAATCGGCCAAACGCCCCCGAGAGCGAATCCGGCCGTGCCTGGGCGGGCAAGCGGGCCCCTATCGGCGATGAGTGGGCGATTGGGGGCCGATGCGTCCCCCCGGTTGCATCCCCCCAATTGATGGCCCTCACAAGTCTCTTCCCCCTCCACCTCCACGTCCTCCTTCTCCTCCTCCTCCTCCTCCTCCTTTCCCCCCCTCCTTTTCCCCCTGGCAGATGCTGGCCTCTGTTTTCCCCGGAGCACGGTCCGCATGTACGCGGCGTTGTCGCCCAGGACCTCCGTCGCCTTCCCGAGGCTGCGCAATAGCACCGTCTGCATCTCTTCCTTCCCCTCCTCCTCCTACTGCTCCTCCTCCTCCTCCTTCCCGCAAGGCCCGTAGGCCCCCCCTTACGGCTGGCACTCGCAACGGGGTGAACCGGCTTCGAGCCCCCCCCCGCAGCACGCACTTCAAACATGCAGTCTCTCCGTCTCCTTCTCCTCCTCCGCCTCCATCTCATCATAATCGTCATCATCGCTTGCACGTTTGCACCCTTGTGTCCCAAGTCCACTCTAGGAGCGGAAAAAAGGCAAACATCTGAGTGCGGTCTGCCATGGGCCTCTGGCCTGGGGCGTGCCGCAAGGAACTGGATTCTGAGTGCCGCCTCGGCGCGCATCGTCGTCCCAACCCCGTCTCCTGCTCTCCTCTGCTCTCCCCTCCCCTCGAGAAATCCGCAGGCTGTGAAGACATGCCTGATATTGCATTCTCTACTGAGGATGGGGAGGGAGAGGTCAGAGACCCTCAACAGCTACACAAGCCAGAGGGGCCCAAACATGTAAACATCGCTGTTTAGGGTGTTGGGCGGCTGGTGGCTGAAGGTGCCTCTCATGAAAAATACTTCCTTGAAGCAGCCTGTGCTCAAACAAAAAAACGATATCGATGCCTGCGCTCTTGACGGGGTATAGCAGCGAAGACAACCAGAGACATGTGGCGACGAATTGTTGCAGCGAAGCGATGGTGATAATCAAATGCCAGAAAGCCACATTCAATAACTCTATTGAGACCAGGAAGCCGCATTCAGCAGTGTACCAATCCATGCGGCAACAACAATCCGAAGCTAAAATGTAAACCGTGTCCGATCACAACAACATACCTTCAAAGAAAGAGCATCGAAAGACGTCACTGCAGCTGGCATTCCGCCTCCTGCGGGGGTCCAATGCCAGAGATACGAGCAAAAGGCCGAGCGCCTCGGTCTCGCGCGCGAAGACGGCCGTTAGCTTCCAGAAACAGGCAACGATTCCTGCTGTCTGGCAACCGCGCCAGCCTCACTGAGTACCGAGGGCTCGTGGGAAACGTTCCCAAGCCCCCAGGGCTCCGATCACGCCCCCTGGGGTCGGCGCCACAGGCCTCGACCGCCGCGCCGGGTGCCCCGACGGCCGCAGGGGCCGAGGGACCAGAGCAGAACCCGACATCGCCCTGCGGCAGGCGGCGCACCGCTCTCGCGCCAATCGCCACGCTCGAGAAGGCGACCGTGCCACACGTGCACCGATAGCCCTCGCCACGCTCGAAGGTCATGGGGAAGTGCGGCAGCTGCTCCCGAGATCCTGCCGAAGGAGAGACAGGCACAGCATCTGCCCGCAAAACTTGCTGCGGCTGCTCAGCTGGCGCCCCCAAGCGCCGTCGGCGCTGGGCCTTTCGGAGCTGCTGCGGCGTGGCCGTCAATACGTTGAATTCTGCAGCCTCGGCATGTAGGGCTACATTCCGGCGAAGGGCATCAACCTTCTCCGGCCACCAGCCAGCAATCAGGGCCTCCAGGGCGGGAATGACCGCGAACACGCGCTGGGCCAGCTCCGCATCGCCGAAGAAGAGCTCGAGAGAATCCCAAAGGACGTCATGCTGCTGCTTGAGGTCGCCCAGCTGCTGCGAGAGCCGACGCACGAGCCTGTCTGCGGACTCCCGTGCACGCGCCCTCCTAGCACACCGACCCTCTGCAGCCCCATGTGGATGTGAGAAGCCACACCCTCCCGCAGCCATTGTGCCCATAAGCCCAAAGCCCCGCTCCCCCAAGTCCCCCCCGCCCGCCGCGTTGCCCCGTGAATCTGGGGTCGCAAGATACGGCTGGGGACAAGGTCTAGGAGCGGGGGGCCTACGGAAAGGCATGAGCCAAAATGGCTACGGATAATCATCATCATCCTCATCCTCATCCTCATCCCCATCATCCTCATCATCCTCATCATCGTTATCATCATTGATCATCGTCTTCGTCGTCAGCAACATTGTCGTCATCATCGTCATCACCACCGTCATCATTATCATGATCCTCATCATCATCATCATCATCATCATCATCATCATCATCATCATCATCATCATCATCATCATCATCTCCATCACCATCGCCATCATCGTCATCATCGTCATCATCATCATCATCAACATAACCACAAGTACGAGCATCCCTTCGACTTCCATCGATTGGCTTGTCGTTTACCTCGGATCGTCTTCCCTCCTCCTCATCGTCATCATCAGAAACATCACCATCACCACCAACATCATCATCATCATCGTCGTCGTCGTCGTCGGCATCATTACCATCGCCGTCATCATCATCACCACCCTCATCATCATCTTCCTTCCCTTATCCTCCTCTTCTCCTCAGCCTCATCTTCTTCTGTGTATCCCCCTTCTCCTTTTCCTCATCAGCGCAACCATCTCAACAATCATCATCAGCCGCATCATCATCACAATCGCCATCCGAAACACCATCAACAGCATCATCCTCCTCCTCATCATCAGCAGCATGATCATAATCATCATCAACATGATCAGGATCAACACCATCATCATCGCAATCACAAACATCATTATTGTTAGAATCGGCATCATCCACCTCAGTATCATCATCATCATCATCATCATCATCATCATCATCATCATCATCACCGTCATGACCACCACCATCATCATCATCATCATCACCATCATCATCATCATCATCATCAACAGCATCAACATCATAATCATGCCCGGCATCATCAGCATCATCATCATCATGATCATCATCCACATCCCCTCGCCACCCGTCGGCTCGTCTTCTCTGCTCCTCCTCCTCATCCGACTCTGCTTTATCGTCCACATTATCTTATTCCAGCTACGTAGTCCCCGCTACACCTTCTCCCACCCCCCCCTCCTCCTCCTCCTACGCCTTCTCCTCCTCCTCATTATACTCCTCCTCCTCATCATCATCATCATCAGCAGCATCAGCATCCACATCATGATCATCATCATCAACCATATCAGTACCAACAACATCATCAGCATCACCATCATCATCATCATCATCATCATCATCATCATCATCATCATCATCATCATCATCATCATCATAATCACCGTCATCATCACCGTCACAAGCATCATTGTCATCATCACCACATCACAAGCATCATCATACTCATCGTCAACAGCAGCGTCCACATCATCATCAGCAGCATCATCATCAGCATCAACATCATCATCAGCACCATCATCAGCATCATCAGCAGCACGGCCACCACCACCACCACCACCATCATCAGCATCAGCATCATCACTATCATCATCAGCATCATCAGCATCACCAGCATCATCATTAGCACCATCAGCAGCATCAGCATCATACTCATCATCATCATCAGCAGCATCATCACCACCACCATCATCATCAGCATCAGCCACATGACCACAACCATGAGCATCCCTTCGCCTTTCACTGATTTGCTTGTCATCTACCTCGAATCGCATTCCCGCCTCCGTCTCCTCCGCCTCCTCCTGCTGCTCCCCCTCCTCCTCCTCCCTGCTCCTCGACCACGTTTGCCGCCCGCATTCGAGAGACCATGCTCGGCCTCGATGGGTCGACTCCTGCGTGCATTGCAACTTCGGTCTACCCGTCGAATGTCCCTCGACCTCCTCCTGCCAACCCTTCGCATCCTCGCTATCCTGGCGTCTCCCTCCGTCCTTATTCCTCCACCTTTCGCCTTTCCCCCCCCCGCCCTCCCCCATCGACTCCCCCTCGTGCCTCCGTCTGCCTCCTCCCCGCGTCCCCCCCTTCCTCCGCTCTCCTCTGTGTTCCCCCCACCAACCTCCGTGCGTCATCTCGCCCTCTCCCACATCTTTCTTCCCCCACCAGAAGGTGAAAACGGATTCGGGCGATACGCAGAGGATGGCGAGGATAAGGAGGGGCAGCAGAGGTGGGGAGGAGGGAGATGAATATACACACATAGACCTACACACATACAAGCATGTGTACACACAACTACCTGTATACATTTCCATATATATATATATATATATATATATATATATACAATATTTGTATGTATGTAGATGTGTGTGTGTGTGTGTGAAGGACGGCGGGGGCGACGAAGGCTGCGGAGGCGATGGTGATGGGGAAGGGGGTGGGGCTGCGCTGCGAGGAGGTAGTCGTTCGCCCCGCCCGAATAGCCCGCCTGTTCAATTCAAGGGGTGCACCATGTGCTGGCGCGACCTTTCTGAAACCCCGAGGCGAGCACGTCATCGAAATGAGGGAAGGAGGACGAATGGGATGAAGTGAGGGAGGAGGAGGAGGAGGAAGAGGAGGAAGAAGAAGGAAAGAAGGTAGGGGAAGCGCGTTTCCCGAAGAACGATGTCGCGACGCATCAAATATCTGACCTCGGTCCTACAGATGATGGCAAATTGCTCCTAAGCCCACCAGTCCTGGCACTCGCATGGTTTCTAGCCATAGCTGCCACTATCATTGCAAATCTGGAATTACCCACGTGGGCGAATATCAACTCGGAAAACCTGTTGCTTCTTATCTTAGACACTAATCATGTTGGCGCAGTGTGTAGTCGGAGATCATTGCTTTGGGCCGCAGCCGCTGCGTTTCACTCCCTCGCTCGTGACCCGAATGTGCTTTCCGGAGGAGGTCTTCGGAGGAGGTCCACGACGAGTGGGGGGGAGCTGGAGGGGGAAGAGGCAGATGCAGACTGGTAGGATAGGTCGGGCATGTCCTCCTTCCTAGAGAGGGATTTTGGACGACAAATAGACAATAACAAATCAGTGCTGAACATTCCTCCTGTAGAGGGAGATGCCCAGCTTGAGAGTAGGACGAGGATGTTGTTCATGAGGAGAGGGAGCGCGAGCGGAGGCCGAGGCAGATGACGAGGGGGATTTGGAAAAAACATGCGCAGAGGAGGATGACGACGACAGTGTGAGTGGAGGATGAGGAGAACTCGGCACTCGGATGTCCTCGACAGTCCGCCAGGGGCGGCACTGCCAGGGGGTGTGCGGGACGCGAAACCGCCTGCAGACCAAGAGAGCCCGAAGCTCGGGCATCGAAAGAAAGGCAAAACCGTCTCCATGTATCGACGCACGGAGTCGAAACGAGAGCCGAGCGACCAGAGGCTCGGAGCGACATCGGGCAACCTCACATGAGGTGAAGGGGGCAGCAGAAACGAGGTTGAGGAGGAAGAGGAGGCAGCCCTGACTGCCGATATGTTCTGGCATCCGCGCAGGCCCAGGCCTTTATCATCTGCTCGGCGTCCGCGGAGAGGACGTCAAGCATGCTGGCGAGCTGCTTGCACTGCAGGCGGGTGGCCTTGCACGGGCGTGGCCGGTTCTTCTTGGGGTGCGCGAGGTGGCAGTACTGACAGTCCTGCCCCTTGATGCAGCCCGTCTTGGAGGACACGTACATGCACGGCCTGCGCTGCCGGAGAAACGATTGCGACAGAGAAGGCGACGACGGAGACATTGAACGTAACTGCGCACGCAGCCAGGAGGCAGCCACGAAATCACCGGACACTGCAAGAGCATTGGAACAGCCTCAAACAACAACTAGTACTCATATATGAACAAAACTGAAAGACAACACCAAAGCAGAACGCGAGGTAGAAACAAATGAGGCGAAACGAAACAACACATTCGCACAAGTAGAACGTTCGCAACGCACGTACACGCCACAACAAAACGTGGTATATGATTGGTGCCTTATATTCGACGTCATGGTTGGTTCAGACGCCACAACGGGTTGTCGTGACGACTAAAGTGAAACGTTCTGCAACACATGTTATTGTTATTGTACAGTCGGATCGGACCTAAGCCCTAGGCCAGAATACCAACCCTCAAGAACATGAGACCCTCCGCTGGCCAAAATACACAACACATCCGAGGATACCATCCACAGGATGCACAATAACATCCAACAAACACGAAGAACACTAGAATACCCTCACCGAACCGACCTCGATCTTACACCTCGGCCCGACTGCAACAGTTCATGTGCGATTGCTCGGAGAAGCTTTCAAGTTGACCGATGACGACTTCAGACGTAGGCGGGGGAGAAGGAGCAGCGAAGAGGCTCCTCCTCCTCCTGGAGGAGGGCAACGACGACCACCACCGCGGACGGCAACGACGACGAGTACGAGACGACGCCGACGACGACGGCATCGCAGACGACGACGACGACGACGGCCACGGACGGAGACGACCGCGATCCCCCGACCACCACGGAACATGCCTCGACCACGGACAGGCCGACGATGACAACATGAACGAAGACGACGACCACGACCACGACCACGACCACGACCACGACCACGACGACGACGACGACCACGACGACGACGACGACCACGGACCCAAGACATCCGACGAGATCACTTTGTTATTGCGCGGCCCCAGCGGTTCCTTCGCCGGGGCCACACTTCCGCCCCGGATCCCTTCCGCATGGCCCCGGGGGGCCCGAACGCGGGCCCCCGATGTGCCGACGTCGAGGAAACACGCCTGGACTGCGAACGCCACGTGTCGTCGGAGATCTGTCCGAGGAAAAACACCGGGATCGACCTAAACCATTAGGGGAACGAAGAATGACATAAACATAAAAACTCGGAGAACCGCGCGATCTCTCGGATCGGCGCTGGATCCCCCTCCCTGGCGCGCTTCGCGCGACAGGGGCGGCGCTTGAGGCGCCGCCAGGGGGGTCCAGCGCGGACCTCCGAGTTTCTATGCTTATGTCATTCTTCGTTCCCCTAACCAAGTCCTCCATGTTTGCTTCGCCCTCGTTGCTCCTCGGCTTGTCTTCCGTCCGCCCCTGCTGCAACACAACGAGGTCGAGCCGAGGACGGCCCACGGAATCGCCAAAACACCACCTCGTCGACCCCTGCAGAGACACGGGGACCACCGCCACCGAGAACCCATCATGGGGAGCCCACCAAGGACGTACGCGCCCAACCATGGACATGAACACGGCCCCCCGACACGCGAGACCGTCCGCGTGATGCGAACATTCGCGCAATGCACACTCTCGAACCCAACGTGGATTCGTGTACGTGTGCGTCCGTCGGGAGGCCGGGGGCGCCGACCCCTGGTGGGCGGCGGCACCCGGGAGCGCCACCCGATGCCGGACGACTCTCGGGCGTGCGGCCGCCCACGGGCTGGCCCCCCCACAGCCCTCGGTGGGGCTCTCGGTGGCGGTGTCCCTCCCAGATCCCCGACGCCGCGGTCGTTCCACGACTTGACCCCGGGGAGCCTGGACCCCTCCCGGGGACCGGTTGCTCATCCTGAGGCCCCCGGAGGCCGAAGGTGGCGAAGAACCTCCCGTCGAGAGTTCTTCGTGGCGCGAGGAGGTCTGGCCCGTTCCTCCTCCCCAGATTTAGGTCGGGCATATCCCCCTAAAGGCAGATCTTGGCGGAAAAACTAAAAATATTCAAACACATACCAAAACTGATCAAACAAATGTTTTAAACACTCGTCCCCGTGCTATTGTTTGGACTATTTTTGAACATTCCTCCTGTAGAGGGGCACGCCCGACTCAACCCCAAATCTCTGATACGTCGTGACCGTGTTCCCTACGCCGCCTCCTGGATATTTTTGGACCCCTCGACTCCTCGGCGAAGGAGAAGGCCTTCTCAGAAGGTTCGGAAGTCCCTCGCGCCTGCTGAGAAGTTTCCTAAGCCTTCCCCGAAGACACTTCTCAGAAGGCGCGAGGGCTTCTGACAAGTCCCGCCGCCTTCAGACCTCCTCCTTCTCATTTCCCCCCCTCGCTCGCCTCCGAACTCCGGGATACCGGGAGATCGGCTCTTCGCCCCGAGCATTCCCGTCTTCCTGACGGCTCGTGGGCGGCCTGGCCCCCCAGAGGCCGACCGCGGCAAAACGTTATTCTTGCGCCGGCGGCCAGGCCGAGTCACTGCGATGGCGAGGACTACGTTGCTCCCGTCGTTCTCAAGGACCACATCCCAGAACTCATGTCGAGCACCCAGGAAAGTGTCGATACAGTGTCGATCGAGTATCGCCTCTCGGGGCCCGACACGTGAAAACCCTCCAGTTTCGGTGCTCTCCTGGTGCTCGAGATTATTTCTGGTGATCACGGCTCAAGTAGGCTGGAACATCGTAAGGCGAGGAGGCAAAACGGAGCTGCCGTTGAGCGAATTGCGCCCCCGTGCAAGGAGGCACGCCAAGACGCTTCGCCACTGCTTGATTCGGTGGCATCGAAGCGAGCCCTGTGGTTATGATGTTCCAACCTACTCTAGCCTTGACCACCAGAAGGAATTTCGAGCGCCAAAAAAAGCACCGAAACTCTAGGATTTTCACGTGCTGGGCCCTGGGAGACACTCGTCCGATACTGTTTCGACACTCTTTCGGCACTTTTCTGGGTGCTCGAAATTATTTCTGGGATGTGGTCCTTAAGTGCGACGGGAGCAACGTCCTCGGTGCTTGCGGGGCCGCCAGGGGCTCGTCCTCGGTGCTCGTCCTCGGTGCTTGCGGGCCGCCAGCGACGGCGGCCGGTCGGCGGGCGGGCCGGCGGCGGGCCTGCACTGCCGGAGGTGATGCAGCGCGGATCCCGCCGAGGCGAGCCCGCGGCCGTTTTGCTCTTCGCTGCCCAGCTCGCCCTCCTGCAGGGGGGGGCTCGAGGACGAGCATTCGGTCGGGCATGTCCCATGCAGGCGGACTCTGGGCGAAATGTGTATATATATATATATACATAGAAAGATAAGAATCAAACATAATCAAGAATAGGCAGAAAATCGTCCCTTTTTTTTGACTCGTTTGGACTATTCCTCCTGTACGGGGACACACCCGACATAAGACGAGCAGGAGGATGGGGGGGCGTATGCAGTCGACGCGCTGCCATCAGGAGCGCCAAGCACAGACCTCCAACGTATTGCAAATTACTCCGACGGAAGGACCCCGCATGAGAATCCACTGGGCAAATCTGGAAAAAGCCCTCACCGTCGTCCTCGTGGTTGGTGAGGCGTCCTGGCTGTCTCTTCTGCGTATATTTCTTCTCGCCCTGGCGCGGGGATACGTGCCGGGAATACCGCTCTGGGAACACGACGAACACAAAGTGGCCTACAGTTGGCTACGGACATTCAGAATGTGGCCCGGGAAAGGTGTTCTGGGAGCACGAAGAACACGAAATGGCCTACAGTTGGCTCCGGGCATTCAAAATGTGGCCTGGGAATGGCGTTCTGGCAGCGCGAGAGCCCAAAAGTGCGACAGTTACAAGAATTGGACGACCCGCTCGGATTAGTAACATGATCCGCGGGCCCCATAGTGAGGGGGCTCCCGCTTGAGACTTCCTCGCACTTCACTCACAGACGAGGCCCATGTGGCCTGGGAATGGCGTTCTGACAGCGCGAGAGCCCAACAGTGGCGACAATTACAGGAATTGGATGACCCGCTCGGATTGGTAACATGATCCGCGGGCCCCATAGGGAGGGGGCTCCCGCTTGAGACTTCCTCGCAATTCACTCACAGACGAGGCCCATGTGGCCTGGGAGTGGCGTTCTGGCAGCGCGAGAGCCCAAAAGTGGCAACAGTTACAAGAATTGGATGACCCGCTCGGATTAGTAACATGATCCGCGGGCCCCATAAGGAGGGGGCTCCCGCTTGAGACTCCCTCGCAATTCACTCACAGACGAGGCCCAAGGCAAGTGAGTGAGTGAGTGAGTGACTGACTGACTTACTGACTGGTGATGATGATGATCATCACACTCTCTCACGCGCACACTCAGCATCATCATATGTGAGTGCTGATGAGTGAGTGAGTGAGTGAGTGAGTGAGTGAGTGAGTGAGTGAGTGAGTGAGTGAAGGAGTGAGTGAAGGAGTGAGCTAGTGAGTGAGTGAATGAGCGCACGAAGACAGAAGAGGAGAGGGGGTGAGGTGAGGAGGCTCCTGCGCGGGGTGTCCAGAGAAAACAAGAACCCCACTTTGGATGTGGGGAACAATTCATAGGTTGTCTCCGCCGTTTTTTCGGCCGCTGGAGGCCCTCGCCGGGCCCCCAGGCCGTCAACAAAACGACTCATGGACGAGACACCCAAGCCCAGACCTCCGACGCATTGAGAACAACAAACTATAGGTTGTCTCCGCCGTTTTTTCGGCCGCTGGAGGCAAACGCCGGGCCCCCAGGCCGTCCAGAAACGACCTAGCACGAGGCGCCGGTCATGCACGTGAACAGGGTTAGGTCGGGCATGTCCATCTACAGGCTGATTTGGGGCGAAAGATAACAAAAAAACTTAATACATGCCCCCAAATAACAAAATACTGAAAACAACGTCCCCAGACTATGTTTGAACTATTTTTGAATATTCTCCTATAGAGGGACACGCCCGACTTCAGGGGTCCCGGAACTGAAAAAGAGAGACAAGACGCAGGAGGGGACGTCAAGCCAGCAGAGAATTCCAAAGGACGGAATCGAAGCTATTGTATATCGGGAGGACAATAGCATGGCGATTTGAAGAAGGTGGAGTCGCTGATTTCTTGGATCTGCGCTGCATCCCCTCTTGGGGGGTGGCCAGCAGCGATGCAACAAGTCCGCGCGGAACACCGAAAATTCATGTTTATGCATTTTGTCGCTCCAAGATTCCGAACTGCGACTAACCGTGGCGATGAGCACCCCCCCCGCAAGAAAACCAACTAACGTTGTCCCAACTCGCCCCCCTCTGAGACACTACTCGGCCCAGAGCGAAGGAAAGAGGATGGGGGGCGGTAGCGCTTCGGGCTGCGCACAGGCAGTCCCTCCTGGCTGGCCTCAACAAACTCCCCGGCCCCCCCCCCCAGGTAGTCACACCACCCAAACCCTTCTGCACACGAACCGGCCGTCCCGTCGTCGTTTTATGCCTCCCACGGGATTTCCTTAGAACAACAGTGCTCATAAAACGAAGCCCGTGTTTTTGGTACGTAAAGCCTGTGTTCTGAAGCACAACGGTCTCAACCAAACATGTTTTGGGTGGGCCTGTAGCACTGCAGGCAGCCCCGGACGCCTGGACACTGCTTGTACCCTGGAGCGCGAAAGCAGGAGAGCCCAGAATCGAATCGATAAGTCGGATCGACGGTCGAAATCAACCGGATCGGCGGAAATCGGCAGCCGAATCGGGAAAAGTCGAAACGGCGGAAATCGGCAGATTAGTACACCTCCAACAAAAAATCGGAACCCCAATTGGAGTCCAAAGCCGGACCGGATCGGAATCGGAATCCATCGAAATCGACTCGAATCGGATCGGGGAGTCGAAGCGGGCCCTGCCAGGTGTCGAGATGGCTCCGGCCGTGTGCACACGCGCCCGCGGGGCTGCCTGGTCCACCAAGACCACAATCATTACAATAAGCATCGTCGCCGTCGGTCGCCGTCGCCGTCGCCGCACACCGTCGCCGTCGCTGCTCCGTCGTCGCTGCCGCCGCCGCTGTCGCCGCCGCCGCAATCGCCACTGGTCCCGTCAACGCCGTCCTCGCTGCCTTCTGCTGCCGTCGCCGCTGTCGTCGTCAATGGCATGGTATACTTTTGGGGCGGGGTCTGGTTAACCTTCGGGGGGCCTTGCCTATTTCCGAAGGAGTACGATCTAATCGCGGCTATTCTGACTCATGCGTGGCAGCGCTCTGGTTTATGCGTGCGCGTGGTATGCGAATGTTGTGAGCGGTCGGATGGGTGCTTTGTTTTACTCTTGGGACAGGCGCGATCCATTTGCGCGTGAAGCATCGTCTATTTTCGCGCGACTTCGCCTCCATTGATTGACCATCTGCTTTGTTGCTCAGCTTATGTATGCCGCACTGGTGGATCCTTTGGCGCAACAAGCAACTGCCCCCGCAGCCGCTCACTCGCCGCGGTGGCTCGCGCCAGAGGCCGCGCATCATCGCCAGAGTCCAGACTCCTTTGGCGCCAACGTCACGACGCGGGCCTGTCTCTGCAAGCCGACGCCTGCCCACCTGCGCGAACTCCCCGCCTGCGCCGAAAAAACGCATCAGATGCCGCGTCCTTCGCGGCGCCTCGAAGGCGTTTGTTCCTTGACGCCCATGCGCGCAAGAGCCACGGGCAGCAATCGCTCGTCGAAGTTCACGCAGGCGCGACGGGGGGGGGGGCCCTCGAGCAAGTCCCACGAGCAGGCCAGGGCGCGCAGAATATCACTCTGTGAGGCCCCTGCCTGCCGTAGTTCGTGCGCGGCTTTGGCGTCGAGCGATGAGATGCCCGCGACAAAGCCTGCGACGCCCTTCCTCCTCTCATTCAGCGCGTGAGCCAGAAATAAGCCTCCGTGGCGCCATGCTCGGCAGCGCTGAGAGATGGCGCCCGCGGCGGGGGCGCCCGACCATCGCATAATTGCGTGCATCACCCGCGCCGCTACGGAGACGATGGCTGGCACCTCGGTGGTGGTTTATGTGATTATGGAAAAGCGGTGAGTTTTGCCAGAGCACGCTGCCGCGCCAGAGGCTGCGACGGGGGCCTCCAAACCCTATTCCCCATGGCACGGGGGGCGGTGGCGGCGGCGAAATCTTGCTGCCAACAGCTTCTTTGTGATTGGTAAAGAACCAGAAGCATATCAGGTCGTCGAGGTCGCGCAAGCAGCCAGGTGCACCGACGCCATCTGGCGAGCGCGTCGCGCCAGAGGCTGCGATTTCCGCGGCCGCGACTCCGCGGGCCGCTTCAGCCGACCCAACAGAATCAATGCCCGCGTCGGCCAAACCGGATTCGGATCCGGACCCCGCGCCAGCGAGCAGGGGCCGCTGTTCCTGGTCGACGGGCACGCGCGCGCCCTCCGCTTTGAACAACCACCGCAAGGACCTGGGGATCAACATGGCGACGCAACCAGCCGAAGCAAGGAAGCCGCGGGGGAAGCGGGATGACGTCGGAACGGGGGCAGGGAACGCGGGGGGCAACGAAGGCGAAGACGACGCGCAATATGGGGGGAGGCACGTTGCAGGGGGGGGAAGCCATGGCGCAGAACGCGGGGAAGGCAAACCCCTGTCGAGCCACGCTGGGGACCTGAGAAACGGTAGGTTTTTGAAGGCCCAAACCACCTGACTCGATCGTAACTGGCGCCTGCCCTATGCCGTATCTCGCGCAGCGCTCTCTCTGCTTCCCTGAACGTCGGTTCCGCTGCGACGAGTACGTTGGCAAGATCTTCACAAGCTGCTCGAACGTGTCATTGCGCGCGCCAGAAATCAAGATCGCGAATTCCTGACCACCCGCGCACCGACTCGCTGGTTTCATGAACGGATGATGCGCGAGAGTCGCGCCAGAGGCTGCGCTCGCGCCCTTGGTCCGCGCGCCGCGGTATGTCCAGCCGGCCTTGTGCTCGTCGCGGTATCGAGTAGCTGTCGCCCGCTCTCGTCCGCGTCAATCGAAGTCCACGCGCCCTGGTATGCGTCAGCTCGCTCTGCAGAGCTCGCGCGCCCCAAACGAGGCAGCGCTGTCGACGAGTGTTTAAGTGAAGATTTCGTCGGCCATCGCCAACGGCACAGTAATATCACCGACAGAATTTCTAACCGCGCAGCAGTCGCGCCAGGAGCTGCGTTCCGAAGGTATTGGCCGCATGCCGTGCCGACCCGCATGTCTTTCCTGCGAAACAGGGAGATGACAAAACCGCCCGCAACGAACGCGCCAACTTTGTCGCGCGCGTTGCC